ATAATTCTTTAGCGATTGTTGCTTCCATACCTCGGGATGAACCATTATGTGTAGATGTGCACTGTGATTGGTGATTTTGTTCCCACAACTCATAAGCTTCTGAATCCTTGTCTTGAGTGTTCCAGTAGTCACAAGATTTGCACACTTTTGAGAGTGCACCTGTGTCAATAACCTTTCCTGTGACACAGCCAATGAGCGTGGTCACTCCTATTTTTGAGGAATGTCCTCGGGTCATCCAGGTTCCATCTACAGACACATCAATATCCCGGCTATCATCAACTGACTCTGTCTTCTCTGCTAATCTAAATTCTATTTCTGCAGCTTTTTTCATGCTAGCTGCTTGAGAGGAGCTAACAGGACTTTCTATCCTTTCATTTATTAGTTTATATGTACTCTTCTGGACAGGCGGCGAAAGATTTTATTCCACAAAATGTTTGCAAGTCCGAGCGATCTCCTCCTGCACAGCGCATAGCAAAGATAGCTCGCCTATTGAATGAGTGTATTTGTAAGCTGTTGTTGTTGTCTACACTAATTTGTGGGCTGGAATTAAAAATGGTCTGCCTTTTACAATTCTGGTTGCTGCACACAAATTCAAATTGACTACCGAGTCCTTGCCTTTCATTCTCAGTAAGTCTGACATGGTTGTAACAAAATGCACAATCCAGCTGTGATGAAATCTGGTGACACATAATATCCAGGTCAACAATCCTGTAGCCTTCACTATCACATTTAGGATAAATATTTACCTCATCACATTCCTCTAAATCTGTGTCTGGATCATCATCAATGTCATACAGGTCATTGATTTTTATCGATGCCTGACTGTGAGTGGGCGTGGCACTTTAGTACTGGTTCTCCTATTATTTTTAGTTTTACTACTACATGTAAAAAAAATACTTGTAGGAATGTCAGTGTTTACATGTTTGTCATCCTCAATAAAGTGATTTAAATATAATTCTCCGCATCTCTTTGTAACACTCATAAACCTATTCCCGTGAAACTTTCGCTTCCTTGAATGTTTACAATACTTTTTATCACTTGACATTGTTTAGAATATCACTTATACAAATAATTTCAGAAGAAACACAATATCAACACGCTTCCACAAACGCAGCCATTTTGATTGTTCCATTCGAAGGGTCGTTCATTGTAGGAAAACTGTTAGGGAGGTTCGCATTGTTGCTAAAGATATGTGTATTTGTGAAAACATGAATTCTGTATTTTTTTTCTTTTTCTTTTACCAAGACCAGAAACACGCGACTATCTTTGAACCATCAGAACTCTGAAACTACTCAACTTATTAAAACAATTTATACATAAACATGTACGATATTGGTTAATCTTTAATTTGATACCAAGTTTGTTTCTAAATTCAAAAATAACAATTTTTCGAGATTCCCTACTAGAACTACCCCTAAATTGTATTATTAAAAGCTTGCTTTGTTTTGAGTCCTATTCCATGCTCATTCTCATTAAATGTGTGCCGTGTCATAATCAACACAAATCCGTAACCTGCTAATTAGTAAACAGGTTACTCTGACTCCTGTTCGTTAGAATTATGAACCTGCTTTCATAACCCCTGAACGACAGTCGGCAACGACGAAACTAAGCGAAATAACCATAACTGACCTTGACAGAGAGTCGGTGCCTATAGAACTTCAAGAATTATCTAAATATAGATTGGTCTACACCCTTTGGGAGAATCGTGTGAAAACGCCAGCAGACCTTTACTGGGTGGAAACAATAATGCAGGGGGGATAATATATATATATTCCTAACGTTCGAAATCGTTTAACTCCTGTAAAAGTATCTTTTTATTCGTCCTTTTCTGGATCTGTACCAGAACTTAAGCATACATCCGTTTTAGAGATTTGAATTGTTGGTATCAATCAATCAGGTGCCGTCTCCACAATGAAGGTTGGCTGCAATGGATCTCAAACAAGCCCTGTCTCTTGCCCTTGATGTACACTTATTCATACTGCTGTTTGTCCATCTCGTGATGTTATTCTCCCACTTGTAACGATGTCTGCCTCTTGCTCGCCTACCTTAAACCTTTCCCGCTAGGATGATTTTTACAACACTGTTATTTCTTTTAATGTGACAAAAATATTTTACCTGTCTCTTTTTTTATTTCACCTAGCAACTCTGTTTTCATTCCTAATTTCCTGAGTACCTCTGTATTTGATAGCTTTTGTTTCCATTAAATACGACATAATCTTCTGTATATCCACATCTCCAAAGAATTGATACGATTTTCCAGTTGTTTGTTCATTGTCCATATCTCTGTGCCATACAGTAAGGTTGAGAATACATAACATTTGACAATTCTCATTTTTAATGTTTTGCTTATTTCTCTTGATGTCAGTAACTTTTGCATGTTGTTGAAAATGTTTTTGGCCATCCCTATTCTTTTCTTGACTTCTGTTTCACTTCTTTTTCACTTCTGTTATTACTTGTCCAAGATGTAAGAAATTTTTAACTTGTTCCAATTTCACCACCTTGTCTTATAAGACAAGCTTTTTGGGAGGCAGTTATATTCTCCATTGCCCCACTAACCACCATGTCAGTGGCTCCCCGAACCGACACATATAATCTATACGTCAATTTAAGTTGGTGCACATGTGTGTGCTCACATACTGGCAATTATTTTAGGAGAAAATATTTATTACTATTGCAAACTTGTTTCATCATGCTTCCTTGTTAAAAATCCTTCAAGCTTCTTTGTCGTAATATTTAGAAATAGTCCACAACATGTTATATATTTTTTCTCCATTATAGATACATATATAATAATACTAACTGCGTCAGAGTATACTGTCTGTATTCGTAAGTTAAGGTGTTAAAAAATGTTGTCCTGAGAATAAAAACCCAGTCACCTGAGCATAGGTCCAGTATATTTTTAACGACATCCTCATTTGTGTGATGGTTTTTAAAATACTTGATAATTTTATTATCAGTAGTGTGCCATTTCTTTTAAATATGTTCGATGCCTATTGAGTGCTCTTCCTTTCCCCAGATAGGTACACCGCAATGGCCGAGATCCCGACTGTCATAGTAACATAAATTCAAATTCGACTACCACATGAAATGTTCACAAGGTACGGGCATCACACACTTTCGTCGGTGGAATGTTTAAGTGTTGTTCTGTCAGCTGATGCCATCTCGGTCGCCAATAGTTAATCCGTTTATGAATTATTCTCTAGTGCGTAAATCACTTGAATGCCTCACTGACTAACCATACAATTACAGCATTTAAATTTTTTTTTCAACACAGATGCTGCATGTGTTTACTCACAATGTGTGTTCCCTTTTACCCGACAATAGGACGGCTTCCTCCATCTTGCTGTCACAAATTCGTGGCCTGATCCTCTCTAATGATGTCAGAAACTGTTATTCACTCACTCGCTCTAACCGCTACTCGCGCACTCAAACACAACCTATTCTTAACCGCCGTCTCTCACACTCTATAACCGTCTTTGTTAATTTCCTTTCTCTGCATGCTATGCTATCCACTTTGTTCACTCTTCCACACAAACATAAAGATTATTTGCATTTCACTAAATCTCGTGTGTGGTCATGCTAAATGTCGCTAAAGGTTACCTACCTGGCATTTCACCCAAACACCTGTCACCTAATATCGTTTTTAGGTGTAGAAATTATTTTGACTGTTCTTGTGTCTGTATTTTAACAAGATTACCAGATCATCTGATCTCCTGCTTCTCAATGCAACTGATGCATAGTGTTGTTTCTACAGTCTATCTGATAGTATCACTTCTCACTTTGTATCGGATATTTCAGCTGGCGGCTCTCTCTGCACAGACTTTTTATTTTACAATAATTAAATTTAAATAGTTCAATCTTCGATAATGTTCAAGTTTAGCAAGGTAGCATAATGCTGGGATAAATATGCTCTTTATAATATGTTTCCTAGCGGTCATAATTATGTCTTAATTTTGGTTGGTAAATTGGCTCGTTGTTTCTATTTCTTGATTTACTCCATTATCCTAGGAAAATGTTCTTCCCATATTTGTTTTTGAATACGTTCCAGAGAAACACCATTTAACCTAAAATGGTTGCGTACTGAAATTTTACTGACCTTTGTCAGATGCCAGGTCGGCAACACTATGATGTTGCTGGACTATTGTGTGTTCCTGATGCCTTATATATGTACTCGAGGTGTGTCCAGATTGAGCGACTACGGTAGAGCCGGCCGGATTAGCTGGACTCAGTTGTACGCTTTACATAATTCACGAACATCCCATGGTGTAAATAAACCTTGGAGAAGAACAAAATGACTGCTGGAATAAAGAGAGCATTTGTGGAGACAGTGTGTGGAGAGAATTTGTGCGACTTGACGACAGAGACATTTTCATTATCATTATCAGAAGTGAAAACATCCGACTGAAACAGTTCCAGAAAATCGCATGGTGTCCATGGCATCAAACATGAAATTACAAAAAAGCACGGTCTAGAACGGGATGAGATCAGTTTGCGACTCGTGTGGCTGAATACAGGCTACTATACAAAGAAAATAAAATTAAAGAGTTATAAAAAAGATTTAGATGACAAGTTGGTTTCCTAATTTATCAAGTTGATTTCTTAATTGGTGATGGCGTTGCTGGGATGGCTTTCCTAATAATTGACAACGTGATCGGAGTCATCTTTTAAGAGTAGATAACTATATTGAGATTTAATTTGTGTAATTATAGGTGTGGTGTTGTGATGGTGTGTTTACATTTTTTTATTTTTATTTTTTTTAATTTTCTTGTTGACTGAATGTTATTAGCTGTAATAACTGAATGTGTTAGTGGTGTGTCGCGTCTCGACAGTTAAGTGACGGTAGATCGAATTTGACAGTGAAACAGTGTTTGCTGTGTGTGCACCAAGGGGTGTCCAAGTTGTTAGTGTGAAAGCAGTCCCAAGATTCATCACTAGGCAGTTGAACATGGGTCAGTCGGTCCTAAGAGATAACTCCGTTCTGACCCCGGGGCACTCTGTACTTAACGCTCGTTTTCAGAGTCTGCCAGCAGCCTATCGAAAGGGAATCGGGTTAATATTCCCGAACCTGGACACGGAGATTGGTCCTCAGGGGCCACGTGCGGTAACGCAAACGAAGTGGGGGACGTCGGCGGAAGCCCCGGGAAGAGTTCTCTTTTCTTTGTAAGGAGCCACATCCCCGGAATCGGCTTGCCCGGAGATAGGGACCGCGGCTCCGTAAAGCACCGCGGCTCTTGCGGTGTCCGGTGCGCTTCCGTCGGCCCTTGAAAACCCCACGGAGACGGTGTGAATTTCGTGCCAGGCCGTACCCATATCCGCAGCAGGTCTCCGAGGTGCACAGCCTCTAGTCGAACAATGTAGGTAAGGGAAGTCGGCAAATTGGATCCGTAACTTCGGGAAAAGGATTGGCTCTGAGGGCTGGGTCAGTCGGGCCGGGGTACGAAGCGGGACTGGGATGGGCCCGGGCTGGGCGAGGCCGCCGCCGCTAGTCGGCGGGCCGACCGAGCTCGGAACGCGGCTGCAACCTTCCCGTGGACCGCCCCAGCTATGCGGCGGCGTCTCACGACGTCGTCCGCGTCGGCTGACATTCAACAGCCAACTCAGAACTGGTACGGACCAGGGGAATCCGACTGTCTAATTAAAGTCCAAAACCCACGGGCTGCTCCCCGCTGACTTCCAGAGGGCGCAGCCCCTGTCGAGTGGGAGGCCTGATACGGTTGTGAGGTTAAGCAGGCATGTGCAGGACGTGACGATTCCTTGGGTGAGCCCAGAATCAGAGCAATATGTGCCAGCTCTGCATGCATGGAAGCCGCCTTGGATGGCGGGGAATGCCCATGATCTGCCCCTGCCTTCCCTTGAGGGCCAACTGTTCCACAGGGGGCTGCCCCAAAGGAGTACTCTGGGGGCAATACCTGCGGCGAAGGAGACAAAATGGACACCACACAAATTAGGCAACGTCTCGACCCACACAAAACAATGGCCACAGTCACCCTAGAAATAGGCCTGACGTCTTCCTTCGAAGTCGGCGTACAGCTGCCCAAGAGGCAAGGAAATGAAAAACGGTTGTACACGCAAAAATCAGGTCCAGGTGAAAGCCAAAAGTCCAAGCGGACGATTAACCGGGACCTTCCACTGGAATTCACAGCCGGTGTTCGATAATAATAAATCACTAGGCCATCATCAAGAGCATCATCATTCAGTTCAAAGGTCGCCGTGTGTCCAATGCTGGAGAACAGTTAAGGTACGTTTTGATTTGTGTTGTTGTGTTCTGGTCTTGTTCTCGTGTCCTCGGTGTTCCACATGGTCGTTTTAGAACACGGAAGCTGTACAACGTCTATCGTTCTCGACTAATTGTTTTCTTCATCTGTGCAATTATTTTATGTGAAGCTGGTAGGGCTAGACGTTAGTTATATTTTGGTTTGTTGATTGTTAGGATAGCGTACTTTTACGTTCAGCTGTACCAACATGTTTGACTCGACTTCAACTTATTTTGAGTTCGGGCCGATTATCGGAGTAAAAGCTAGTGGCGATTTGTTAATGAGATGTCTTTGTCAGTTATGCGTGCTATCTTGTCAGTAAGTATAAGCCTAATAGTTCGTTATCGTTCGTTAAGTAGCATCATCTTTAGATCAAAATCCATCTCTCATAGGTGTTTTTCTTTGTGATTATGTTTAAGGTTGTAATATCAATGCCGTTACATTAGCAGTGCGTTATAAGTTTATTATTGTATGTTTTAGTACATACATGATCATTTCATACCGAATAAAGTGTTAAGGAGTAGATTTCCGCAAACCTATTCTTACGTGTTGTTAAACTGAAATGATATTGTGGATTGCTTGGCAGTATTGTTGCTGTAATTTATATGTTAGTAACTGTTTTTTTGTTTTTTTTTTGTCGTTTTGAAATCGTGATTGTTTGTTGTAGCTCGGTTACTGCGAATAGTGGTTGTATATAGGACACCTTGATTATTTTGCTGTTGTTGTAATTCGGGTGTGGATCTCTGCCGTGGTTGCTGCAATTATTTTTTTTTTCTTCCCTGTAGTTTGCATAGTATTTATTATTTTAAATGAAAGTGTACTGAGTTGTGATATTTACATTATTGCAATATGAAATCAGGCTCGCTGATTTGATTCAATTCGCCAGACAAAACGGTCTGACAGGAAACAAGATACTTACATTTGTTGAGTTAGATCTTATGTACGCACTAGGTAAGGGCAAGACGGATATTTAATCTGAATACTACTGGTGCCATCGACACTCTTCGCTGGCTGTTGAAGATTGGACCATAATCGCATGGAAAATCGCTTTTGTTACGAGAATGCAATTGATAACTAAGGCCACTCCCTCCCCCCCCCCCCCCCTTCCGCTAATATAAAAAAAATGAACTTCAAAAGTACACTAAATAAACACTGAATCGTGTCAGTTATGACATGTCGTCTAGCCGGATTGCCTGCAAATCCAAGAGTAAGAATACTACGGCAAACAATGACAAGGCTCATGTAGATCATTACGATCAGCGGAGAATTGCTCTGCAAGGAGTTGAAAAGGGATTTAGTCTAGGCTCAACACTCATGGGACAGGAGAGACGAATGGATATACATGCAGACAGTTACTGGTGCTATCAGAACTCTTTGCTGCTGAAGATGGAGACGAGGCTCTCATGTGATTGTCCTGAAAGTTATGCTGTCCATTCTTAATTCAACATTCACACACTGGTTCTAACCACTACTTGCACACGCAAACAAACACTGTTCTTAACAGCCGCCTCGCACTGAATGATTGCACTGTCTGAATGCATGGGCGACTTTCTTTTACTTGCATTCGCTTCTGTCATCACTGTACACTCTTTATCGCGAGCATAAAGTTATTTGCGTTTCACGACCTTTCGTGTAGGGAAATGCTAAATTTCGCTCAAGGTTTCCTACCTGGCCTTTCGCCTAAGCCACGTGATGCCTGGGGATTCCCTCTGACCTTTGCTATACTCTCTAAAAATCTGTACAATTTATACTTCTAAACAGCTTTATTACACTGATGTCGTTGTCACAGTAAACAAAAAGCGGGAACCTGCTACTATAGTAGGCAGTTGACTCCGACATCTGATTGCTAGACATACAAAACTGCATTTATAACCTCTGAACGACAGACGGCAACGAGAAAGCTAAGGGCAGATAACCATAAAAGACCTTGGCAGAAAGTCGGTGCCTATAAAATCCCTAGAATAATAGATGTGGTCAACACTCTTAAGGAGTAAGTGAACTTGTTTCTATTTCCCGATTTGCCACCTTTGACTGTGTAAAACTGAGCCTACGTTGTTATTATATACTTTCATTTCTTACTTTCATACTTTCATAGCGTAGTTGGTTGTGAGCATTTGGCTTTTTTACTCAGTTGACAGGGGTTCGATTCCCTGCTGAGTGATATAATTTTTGGGGGGCCCCCTAACTGGGTGACTACCACGTTTTGTACCATTTTCCGTTTGATTTTGGAGTTTACAGCTAGCCTGCGATAGCAGCGACGTGATGCGATATCTGACCTAAAGTCTTCAGTCTTCGGTAGTAGAGTTATAAGCATTCCGCCATTCACGTGGATGAACTGTGTTCGTTTCCTCGCTGGGTGCTAATTTTTCTTTTTTTTCATGAAGGGGCGATTAGCACGTTGTGTTGTGGTTTACAGCTATGTTGCGACATCTGCGACCTATGCCCAAAGACATCCAATTTAGATACAGTCCAAATTAGCCTCCCCACCCCCACCCCCCCACCCCCCCACCCCCGACTCTTCACTCGATCAAAAACTATTCGTTAAAACTATTAACTAAGAAGGCTTGCGGTCCAGTTTAGTTTGGGTCGACACAGATGCCGCGGTTAATTAAATATCGTGACTTTGGAGAGGGAGAGATGACGAGTGCAGGTTTTTATTTCCGCTTTTTGTGATTATAGTGTACATTTGTTTTATATGACGGAATATTACAGTGGGTTCCATCACTTGTTAGGTGATGGAGGTTATGTCAGGGACACACTTAAACTAAACAGTCCATGGCGACAGCATGCGGCGCCAACTCCTCTGGGTACAACGACCTGTGGAAACACTAGTGACCATTGGGTGTTGTTGTTGTTGTTGTTGTGGCGGTGGTGATGGTAGTGGTAGCAGTAGTACTGGTACTCGATGGGTTATGTGGTAGCTGTTACACTGGCCAATTTACTTCTCAGTACATATTAATGCTACCCATTTGTATCTGGGTGGACACGGATGCCAAGCTCAATTTAACAACAATATTTCGTCAGGCGATGACTTCTCCATACTTCGTAGAGGATGATATGATTGTAACGGGGGGGGTGGGGGGGGGGGGGGTGGGGGGGGGGGGGGGGGGGGGGGGGGGTGTCGAAGGGGGTTGATGCCAGACACTGTTAACTGAGAAAGCTTCAAACATTTTTTTTTTACATTTCTCATTTCTTAACTATTTTTATTTAAACAATGTCGCCACATAATAATATTTCAATCATTCGGAGAGGGAGATATAATTTCTCAGATGCTTGAGTCCTTGGTAGCGTAGTTTTCTATTTTGTGTGTTACGTGGGTGACTGGCGAACATTGCCCCGCTGGGTGATAAAATATTTTTTTTGGCCTATAACTAAGTGGCTGGCACGTTTTGTTGTGGTTTACAGCTAGGTTGCGATATCTACGTCTTCTTTCCGCTCGGTTTGAGGGTTTACAGCTAGCCCGCGATAGCCTCGACGAGATGTTGGTCGTGTCTCGGGTAATCTACGTTCGCCTTTAAGAGGGCGGTTGGAGCGTTGTGTTGTGGTTTACAGCTAAGCTGCGATATCAGACCCAAACTCTTGAGTCTTGGGTAGTATAGTTGTACGTATTCCGCCCTTCACGTGGTTGACCGGTGTTCGATTACCCACTGAGTGCTAATGTTTCTATTTTCCTCAAGAGGGTTGTTGGCATGTTGTGTTGTAGTTTACATCTGGGCTGCGATATCTGCACCTGTCGCCCAATGACATCCGATTTCAGGAAACTCCCATTTATCCTCCCCGCGACGCCTCACTCGATTATAAAATATTCGTTGATGACAGAAGCCGTTAGCTAAGACTGCTTACAGTCCAGCTTAGTTTGGATGGACACGGTTTGCCAAGGTCATTTAAAATTCGTCCCTTCGGAGAGGGGAGATGACGGGTGTGTGTTTTTATTTCCGCTATTTGTGAGTATATAACGGACTATTACTGTGACTAGGGTGCTGAAAAGACCGATTCCGCACTCCTGTGTGCTAGGAATGCAGGGCCCCTAACTCCATGGAGCACTTCTTACTAACCTGTAAACACCACGAAATAGAGAGACAAGAGCTCGTGCTGCACTTCAGAGCCACAAACTAACCAATGACAATTTAAAACTGCCTCAGTGTAAGCTGCGACGACAAGGTCCAGCGACTTGTGAAGTAGTTCATATCCAGAAACGGGAAAGCGACCTAAGAGCCACCCCTCATCATGATGTGACCGACCAGATCCAGCGAGTACCAGCACCCTCAAAAGAGCCAACTATCCCTCTCACTCACTCTTCCGACCTCACTGTATGTCCTCTGAA